ACACACACACACACACACACACATATATACATACACACACACACACACACACACACACACATCTATATATATACATATATACACACACACATCTATATATATATATATATATATATATATACCTAAAGTTTATAATACTTTTTTTCTTTCTGGAGCTTGATGTAGTGGCTAACAATTCTGAGTCTTTTGGGGGAACTGTTTTTTTTTAAGCAACAGTAGACGTATTTTTATTTGCAGTTGTGAGCGGCTGCAGGCAGGTCCAGCATCCTCCTCAAAGCACTGAATGGCAGCAGGCCATCCTGAAGGGTCTGTCCGAGCTGAGACAGGTGACGCTCTAAACCAAGATGTGCACTGTGTGAACAAGCTTTGAAACGTTACCTGTCTTTTGTGTGTACTTTTGATCAGTTATTGGTGATGAGCTTCTTGGCTGCAACAAACAAAATTCAGCAGGATACAGTGCCATGTATGAAATGCTGATTTTGAATTTTTATTTCAGGGTCTGCTGCAGAGACAAAGAGAGCTCGAAACCAGTCTAAACCCTGCACTGCAAACACAACACAGGAACTACTTCTCTCCTTTTAGACCCGTGTGATCCAGAGCTGCTTCCAAAAACAAGACCAAACCTGGTTTATAGCTGCATTCACATCTTACAGTATAAAGTGCTGGACCGAGATGTTGCTGTCTGACATTTGAATTAAACGAATGGAGTATCTGTTAGACACTCTTATCAAGGACTCACTGTAGATGTGTAACTGCAAATCTTGAATGTGACGTATGAATAGCTAGATTTTATGGCTTGAATGTGAATTTTACAGTTTTTCCTACATGTGAATTAAATGTATTTAAACGCTTTTAAATTAAACTTGAAGTTGCTCAACTTGAGTCCACTATTGACCATACTTTTTCAAGCTGGTTAAACAAATCAGTGCTCAATATATGTGACCCTGGAGCACAAAAGCAGTCTTAAGTCACTGGGGGATATTTGTAGCAATAGCCAAAAATACATTGTATGGGTCAAAATGATTGATTTTTCTTTTATGCCAAAAATCATTAGGATATTAAATAAAGATCATGTTCCATGAATATATTTTGTAAATGTCCTACTGTAAATATATCAAAACTTAATTTTTGATTAGTAATATGCATTGCTAAGAACTTCATTTGAACAACTTTAAAGATGATTTTCTCAATATTTCGATTTTTTTGCACCCTCAGATTCCAGATTTTCAAATAGTTGTATCTCGGCCAAATATTGTCCGATCCTAACAAACCATACATCAATGGAAAGATTATTTATTCATGCATAAATCTCTATTTCGAAAAATTGACCCTTATGACTGGTTTTGTGGTCCAGGGTCACATATGACCAACATTACTCGATCACAGCGTCTTGTTAACCAAACATCTCAAAATAGACACACTCGGTTACAAAGACTAGTTTGAAAGTTGTTTAATGTATATTATCAGCTTTATAAAAATAATATTAAAACCAAGGCCTTGAGCTTTTTCACAAAAGGGGAAAATAACCAACATTATCAGTCTGACCAACATGCAAAATAAAAATATAATGTTCTCTGGAAAATATGAAATTAATCCCTTTTTTTTTTTTATAAATTCACTTTCGGTGAAAACCTAGAAATGCTTAATTTCTCTCCTATTATACAAAAGTTGCACTGAGATGGAGTTGTAAACATGAGTTTGAAAACTATCTACACACATTACTGGCTCACCAGCCACCAAATCCTCCTCTATTGGGACGATAGCTGTCCCTCTGGAACGCAGGATTTCCCTGCCAGCTCTGGATGAACGGAGACCTTTGGATCTGCTGCACATCCATGCCGTAGCCAGCACCCCACAGCCCCGATGCCGAACCTTGCACTAAATTGTTCCACGACATCTGCACGCTAGGATTTGGGAGGAATCCTCTCAAGACCGGAGGTGCCACAACTCCCAGGCTGTTGGAAACGGTGCAGTTCAGGAGAGGATGTGCAAGTCCAATAGCACCATTGTGAGATATGAGTCTAGGGCCACTCAGACCCAGGGAACTGTGCGGAATCGACATGAGGCCGCTGCCCTGCAGCGCTGGATAAAAACGGTCCATGCTGTGTCTGGGAAGGAAACCACTGACCGCTGGTTCAGAGGAACTCGCACTGTCCACTGCAGGCTTCTCTGAACCTCTGCTTTCATTGGACGTTTGACCACTCCCAGCATTAGTCGTGCCTGACCGAGTGTCCGTGGAGCTTGTGCTCGATTGCTCCCAAGCTTTAGAAGTATTCATTATATTGCTGGTGTTCTCAGGCGCAGCTGCAGATGTGTCCGTTTCTCCATACTGGACCACTTCACGACTGGCTCCGACTGCAGAAGAACTGCTCATTGGAGCCCCAGCTGTTGTTGTGACTGCTGACTCTGTTTTGATTGACGTACAAGAGACTGGAGTCTCAGGTGGAGTAGCTGACAGACTGTGGTTTTCCGAGGAGTACCGAGGATAGGAATCTGACAGATCGCTGTGACTGAGGAAGCTCTGGTCAGGATCAACTCCAAAAGCCGTTTGTAGAGTTTCACCGGCATCAGACTTGGACAGCATCTTGGAAGCCTTGAACTGAGAAATCGCTTCACTGAGAGCTACAAAGTCTAATTCTTTTGGCATCTGGCTGGTTGTTGTGAGCACAGGAATTGCATTCGCGTGGTCTCGGAGAGAAGGTTCAGAGAGCGGAGGGCACGGATCTGTCCCGAGTGCAGACGGGTGCTGGCTCGTCTCGGTTGTGACAGAGACACTGTGATCTGGAGAATCCAGGTCCGAGTCCAAGGACATGCTATCGTCTCTCACTACAGAAACAAGAGAGAGGTTCACAATTTCAAATCAACAGAAACAATACATAGCAGTTAAAGATCAAATGCAGTTTTACAAATTCCACAAGAGGTTTTGCACCTCTGTCAATTGAGGCACCCAAAATTGTCCCAGTTCTCTCATTAATCGTTCCTCGTCTACATCTCCAGTATTTCAAGCATCGTCCAAACAGAATACATTGTCTGTGCAAGTATAGACATCCCTATAAGTCATCACTCATTAGTAAAAAAATCCTGTTTTCCTCACAGGGTCACTGAAGAGAAGAATCATTACGATGTACAAATGGTGATTAATGGAAATCAACTCCATAAACCCATAGCTCCTATTAAGACTCCTTCCAACAGCCAACAGGCTCCAAACAAACAAGAAAGAAAATCATACTAGTTTGAAACAACCTGATTACAGAATTTTCATTTTTTGGGTGAACCATCCAGTAAAACACCATATATACAGCCTTACAGTTAGACCAAGTGAATTTTGAGCATAGAAATAGGTCTATAATCTCCATATTCAAGCTGCCTTCGTGCATCTTTTTTACAAGGAAAGAAAAATTACATTTTGAAAATCTCTAATGAAAGTCTATTGAAAAAGACTAAATAAAAGACTGAAAAATAAAATGTCAAGTAGAGTAAGAATTGGTCTAAAATGGCAACAAAATAGCTACCTGCATGCTGGTGGACAAAATAAATAAAATTCAGATTCTGAATGACAGAAAATTAAATGTTGGCTATGATTATAATGTCTCTATGCCCCACAAAATGAATCTGAATTCATGTTGAACACATTCATTATAAAAGAGCTGTATTCAAGTGTATTGTACTGTCCTAAGACTTGGCATCAGTTCTGCTGGTATTTACAATTATGTGATTGCTGAATGTAACCGTTAAAAAGTGATGGTTCCAAACAGAAAACATTTCTGTATTTATACATTAAAACAGGAGCTTTTCTTTTACTTTGTGTTTTTAAGACGTATAGCATTCTGCATTCGTATAGCATAAACTTTTACATCTAATTTGAATCTTCAAACAACAGTCTTTACACCTGCAAAAGGTTACACACACACACACACACACACGCACACGCACACACACAAGCGCACAAACACACACACAACACACGCGCGCACACAAACAAACACGCACGCACACACACAAACGCACGCACGCACGCGCACACACACAAACAAACACGCACAAACACAAACAAACAAACACGCACAAACACACATGCACGCACACACACAAACAAACACGCACAAACACACGCACGCACAAACACACACACTTGTAATTGCAGCATAATGGATGGTTTGTAAAATATTTTTAGCCCGTTTTACACCTGGCTCATTTTGAGTATTTCTGAAAGTTGCTTTTAAATGTAATGCATTACAATATTGCATTACTCCATAAAACTAACTGCATTACTTAGTTACATTTTACAGAAAGTAATGCATTACATTACTTTTGTGTTACTTTTTATCATCTGGGCTGGGCTTGCTTATTTATTTTTAATAACAAAACCCCCAAAAGTTATATTTTTGGCAACTGTAAAAGCCCTTTCACACCAAAAGTGAAATGAATAAGCGTCAGACTGAAGGAAGTGCCTCTGACTCCCAGTTTCTCTCATCAAAGGGACAGGAGAGCGGTCAGTGAATACATGGGAAAACAAAGTAAATTGCATTACTTATTTAAAAAAGTAACAGATATTTAGTTGTAAATTTAAAAGTAATGCATTACTTTACTAGTTACTTGAGAAAAGTAATTCGATTATGTAACTTGCGTTACCCCCAACACTCAGTCTCAGGATGATTATGTTGATGCGGATCTGACTGAACAAGGTGGTGCCAGACCGCTGGACCCTGCAGTGATCCACTTGTGCTGGTCCAGCAATCTGACCCACTGCAACAATGCTGTCTTGAGATATATGCATGTAAAATATCATTTATCAGCTATGAGCAGAATCCCTAGACACAAACAGCTGCACTCTGACCAGTTTTACTTGCTTAAACACAGTTTGGTACACTTTGAATCGTTGCCTTGTGAAAAGTGAACCAAACCAAGGAAAAAAATGCCAATATAATCTAAGTCCCTGTTTGGAACAAAGCAAATAATCTAAAGGTCTGCAAACGCCCCAAGTGTTGAGTGCAATTCAAATAAAACAATCTACTAGAGAAAATATTACATTTTATACATTTTACATCTGTTTATCACCACAAATATATCTAGGATGCCTTTTTTTATCCAGAACTTCTCACATTAACTACCAAAATTAATATATTAGGAAATATATATTATATATCAGGAATAGGAAATGTCTTCACATTTTTGTGATGCCTGATCTCGTATGAAAAAAACCCGCAATTATTCCCATTATTATTAGGACATAAAAATGTATATTTGGTAAAAATATTTTGTATTGTTTCAAGGTACTTAAAATTTGACATTCATTGCCAAGTGTATAAAACCCCACTATATATTGATTTTGGAGCCTGGTTCCAGCTGATGGTTATATTCAGAGGTGAAGCACACAAAAGACCTGTTGATCCCAAAGGCAAACAGATGATTTCTATTGGGTGTTTGATCCATGTTCGTCCACCCATGAGATGAAAAGGCTTTACAAAGCACATGAACTTCGCTTGCTTTTACAGTCTCCTCTGTCCTCAGCCTCGTCTCTTACTTTGGCTGTTATTATCATGGCACAATGCCACTGCGTGTTTGAGAACCTGTTTTTTTGTACTCTTTTAGCAAACACCATTTTGTCCTGTTATTTTCTATTCTGATTGTTCAGCAGTTCATGGACATTACATGTATTTCTCTGCCTCTCCTCGATGAATGATAAAGATCATTCAGGATGATCGACTGGGAACAGTCACAGTGAGAGCAAGACGTGTAGTTTGGGATGCTGTCAGATGGTTTTAGCACAGAATCACTTACATGACGCTGGAGCAGGAGTGGCGTAAGTCTCTGCCGATGGAGCGCTGTCCACATGTCCTCCACCAGCTAAACTGCTTATTATAAACTTTATGTCATCAACGTTGGCAATAACGATGCCACTGCTGGAGTAGTGGGGAAACATCTCAAACTGGCAGCCTGTTGGATGGGATTAAAAAAAACATTAATTTAGCCATAAGCATTCACCATACTTCAAAAGTAATTCCATAATCATAAAACATAATCATGAATTTACTGTTAAATAACACAATTGATAAAAACAGTATTAAAAAAATCTGTAAATAAAGGAAAGTGCAGACAGCATCTGGTTCCTAGCACAGAATTTGAACCTTGCGATCTTAAAACGCAGAGCCTTTGCCATACAAACATACTCTACGTATTCTAAATTGTGGTGCATTGTTGCAGCTTGTTTTATGTCTTTCTCTCTACCTTTCCTAACGCTGAACAGCGTCACTTACTGTGTGTTATTTCCAGACTGACTGAGGCTAAAAGCTTTCTGAGAAACGACCCTCTACAGAGTCTGTCTCACGGTTATTCCCTGGGACTTGTTGATTACAGCAAGCATTGTACAGTCATGGCCAAAGGTTTTGGCAGTGACATAAATTTTGTGTTTTGCAAAGTTTGCTGCTTCAGTATTTGTATATTATTTTTTCACGTTTCTATGGTATACTGAAAAACAATGATAAGCATATCATAAGTTATAAAAGGCTTTTATTGGCAAAAAATATAATGAGTCAATATTTAGTGTTGACCCTTGTTCTTCATAACCTCTGCAATTGGCTCTGGCATGCTGGATATTAGCTTCTGGGCCAAATCCTGACTGATGGCGATCCATTCTTGCCTAATTAGTTCTCGGAGTTGATCACAATTTGTGGGCCTCTGTTTGTCCACTCGCCTTTTGAGGACTGACCACAGGTTCTCTATGGGATTGAGATCCGGGGAGTTGCCTAAGTGATTTTATTGATATGATTGCTTATAACTACTTTACTTATAACTACAAACTGAGCCTCAAACAAGAACAACCACAAGAAAGTCTTCTACATCATTCCTGAAGCCTGTACCTCGTGGTTTAGGCTAGATTTGACTATCCTTACCCTGAATAATCACAGGGTTAAACGTCTAAGATACAAAGGACACACTAGATAGGGAGAATCTAAAAACTGGGGGCTCATCTGTGATCTGAACTATGGGAACCTCTGGAACCTGAAGCAAGAATCGTTCCCTAGGAGAACATAAAACTGTGACCACTGTCACGCAGTATTTATTAACTGAGGACTTCATTCAAGCCTTCTTCTGCACCCACCCTTTCTTGGTGAGTGCTCCATTCTTTGTTCGCCTGTTATTTAGGTGGAGGGATGAGAGCGAGAGTAGCTGAATTACATGGTGGACACGGACACTGAAATGCTGATCAATTTATCACATTTCTTTAGAAAGATTTGTTGCCATTTCCTGAGATCTTTGCAATTTTCCTTTTACAAAAAAAGGAACTTAAATCAAAAATATCCTCTGAATCGGTGGAGCAGCACACTTGATTAACACTCTGATGGTGAGGAAGATGAAATACTGGGAAAAAAGTGCCAGCTTGATCTACATTTACAGGCACACCTCTCTCATTCTGCACAAATTCAAAATGTTACCATATTGGTAATATAGCCTAACATTTGGGTGCTAACTGTATTTCTTCTGTAAACCAAGCCTTTCACTTCACTTGTGTCCCAATGTGCCAACTCTCACATGTGCAAAACTGGCTTTTGTGTCTGTTTAGCCCTTCATCGCCTATGACACTCTGCCAGCGCGGTGTGGTCACACTGTCTACTCAGAATGCACATGCAGCAGTAAAGAGACAACACTTGTGTAATGATTTGGGTTTAAGATCACCAGTCAGAAATATCAGGTGTCGCTGTTTGATGAATCTGGCTTGCAGATCCACTAGACAGTCGAGGTCAGGCGCTTGATGTGATGGAGTGTCACAGTCGTGGTACGACAGGATCTCAACGATGTGCCTCTTCTCATATTCATTGAGGATCTCGAACAGGTTCAAAGCATCAGGTTTGAGCCTGGAAAACAAACAACACCGTTCTTACAGTGCAGTCAATCGTGAAGAAAACGATTCCACCCAGCTTCTACTCTCTGTGTCACCACTTGGTAAAAAAGGTGCATGAGCTTCCTGAAGTCTGAAGGGTTGTGGTTTAGTGTCAAACCTGCTGTGCTCTCTGAGTTTCTTGTGTGATTTGAAGTGCACCCTCCACCTCCAGGGGCTCTGAGGACAGTTGAGCTGCTCAATGTACTCAAGGATATCTTGAAGTTTCTCTAAAAACAGAAAAAACACTTTGCTGAAACGTGGGTTGAGTTGATATGAAATAAATCTAAATGTCAATAACACTCATTAATAAACGTGAAACTGCATTACCTGCCGTGATGACCGCTGGGTTCAGGACCTGCTCGTCTGAGACGATGAAGCCTCCGGACTGAAAGAGCTCGTTGTAGGTGTGGTTCTGGATGTCACTCAGGTTGTCTACACCAGCAAAGCTCACAGACGGATGCTTCTTCAAGAAAACCAGAGAAGGTATCTATGGGTAGAAAACACAACATCTAGTGTCTTCCAGCTGATGGAACTGGTTCCAAAATTGAAAAGGAATCAACATACTTTTCAATGATATATCTGACGAGTCAAATCGAAGTGCTGAGCTCTGGCTTACCTTGTGAACCTGTGTGGCGATGTCCATATTCTGAATGATGACCAGCAGTTTGTCTAGACTACCGCTTTTCTCAAGGAAACCATGAGGATTACACTCCAAATCCCCCAACTTTTTTAAATATTCCTGTGACGAATGTCAAAACGGTACAAGCTGAGTACGTCTCCAGATCTCTGGGCAACTTCAGTTTGACAAATAACCTTTATATCCTCCAACTCAATTCATTTAGCACATCTGTTCAAGTCAGCGAAACATTTCTGCCATTTTGACACTAACATCTGATCCCAGCACTAAATAGAGGAGTAAAGAGGGTCTGAATTTCTAATAGTGTGGGATATTTTCATAAATTGTACCATGGATATGCATTAGAAACACATTTATACCTAGTATATAAAAGCCTTGTTCACGCTGTCAGTCCATCTCAGAATTTTGTGCATATCTGATTGGAATTCAATCTAAATGATTGACTGTCCACACGGTGTATCCTAACTGTTCAGATCCGATTTGCATGTCCAATGTTTCGTTTTACTGAATATCTGCATTGGTTCTATAGCAGTGACGTTGTGTTGGTATGTTTACACTGAAAACAACAATGACAGCAATACAGTTTGCGATACAGATGTTATGTTACCACATGCTGCCGTTGTGCTGGATTATATTACGTCTGATGAGGCAGCGGCAGAAGTGGGAATGCGTGGCTTTATTCTGTGCTGCAAAACTCAAAGAGGTGTGTAGACCAGCCATATACTACCTTTTTCTGCTTGACTTGCACTTCACAACAGCACAACCTTGTTTCTGCAAAGACCTTCAGCATGTTTTCTACAAACAACAGCGGTGTCCGAAATCGCTCCCTATCCACTATATAGTGCAGGACTGACGAGCTGGAAGAGAGAGCGAGTTTACATGCTTATTTGGGGAAGTCGTGGCCTAATGGTTAGAGAGTCGGACTCATAACCCAAAAGGTTGTGGGTTCGAGTCTCGTACCGGCAGGGATTGTAGGTGGGGGGAGTGAATGTACAGCGCTCTCTCCCACCTTCAGTACCACAACTGAGGTGCCCTTGAGCAAGGCACCGAACCCCCAACTGCTCCCCGGGCGCCGCAGCATAAATGGCTGCCCACTGCTCCGGGTGTGTGTTCACGGTTTGTGTGTGTTCACTGCTGTGTGTGTGCACTTTGGATGGGTAAATGCAGAGCACTAATTCCGAGTATGG